GAAAAATTTTAGTGACATATATTTTGTTATTGTTTTATTTTATTATCTTAATCAAGTCCATATATAATAATTGTGTTTGACTTTTTCTTCTCCATATTTTCGAAATGAATTATTTAATCGCCACCTTCCCTTTTTTCCTTAATAGCTTCCTATATGGAAAATTCAAGCTTTATTAATATCAGAAAAATTAATGAACACAATTCTTAATTTACTTTAAATCGCTCCTCAAACAATGAAAGTTCCGCTAATAAATCTGTTATCGCATTCATGAATGCTTCATGCGGGGAGTAATCAGAAGTAGTTTGTATTCTTATAACAAATTTGTGCTCCAATGGATGCGGCACTTTGTACCCAGCAAAAAGAACATTTGGATCCTTTAAGAGTTGACTAAAAGAAAAACATATTACGATTTATTTGAAGTAATTTCATTACTATATACTTTCTAATCATATTGCCAAGTGTGTGATCCTCCTTATTAACCGTGAATATCGCCGCGTTTGTAACCTTTGTATCCAACTCTTTGATGATTCTTAAAATCAACAGTTTAGTCTCATTATAAGATAACTTATTCAATATCAACAACTTACTTCTTTTCACCTTCATACAGTAAAAACGATTCGAACGTTGGTGGTGCATTCATTTCGTAGAAAATATATAACTCTTCTAAATAAAATAATAAATAAGCTACCCGATGCAAACTACCAACTATAAATTTGTCAAGGAAGAATTTCTTTTGCTTATTTATCGATATGTTGGCGATTAATGTTACACCCCATCTCCGCTGACAACAATTATTTCCTGAGAAAGCTATTTTCACTGACTAAATTTTTGTATGTTTAATGTACATATAAATGAAAACGGATTATATTAGTATGTATTGTTTGTATAGAACTTTTACTTCATTTGTATCTGCTCATTAATTTGTTTCCTTTAACGTTGATGTACATAATTCAACCACTAATGACAATTCATCTAACTTGAATTGATGTAAAGGTATTACATCTGGCAGCATTTTCGATAGCTTGTAAATAAAAAGATTGTCTGGGTGCGCGCCAAGTTGTGTTAATTATATATATATGTATGTATTTATAAATTTGTGAAGATCGATTGGACAACTTTCTGTATTTTTTAAGTATTTGTTGCAGACCGGTGTAAAAGTTTTATTACAAAGCTAGCTAAAAAAAGTGTTTTTACAATGAGTTCTGAACATACAGAAAATTCTTTAGATGGGTCTAGTGTTACAATGGTAGATGTTTTGCAAGAGGAGCACGATTTAGAAGAGGAATACAATGCGGTTCTAGGCGCTTCTGATGAGAAATGTTGCACATATTCTCAGGGAGCTATCAAGCGGCAGGCTCTTTACTCTTGTTTGACTTGCTGTCCTGAAGGTCGTACTGACTTGAATAAATGCGCTGGAATCTGTTTAGCATGTTCTTATCGTTGCCACGAAAATCACGAACTTGTCGAATTGTATACAAAACGTAATTTTCGTTGCGATTGCCCAACGGAAAAAATGTCTACCCAACAATGCTGTTTACTTAATGTTGGATTGCCCATACCACAAAAGTGTAATTCTGAGAACTTATATAACCAAAACTTCCAAGGATTATATTGTAAATGTCAAAGGCCATACCCAGACCCTGAGCGAACCACGGAAGAAGTGATGTTGCAGTGCACGGTTTGCGAAGATTGGTTTCATTTGATTCATTTAGATATGTCTGAATCGGCAAAAAAAATAGCTAGCTCTGATATCTGTGCAGAAATGGTTTGTGAAAAATGTATGAAGAAACACATCTTTCTGCAAGATTATACTGAGCTGGTACTTGATAATTCGGACGAACCATTGTATAAGGTATCATCAGAAAATAATTCGTTGTGTGAAGATCACGACAACAAATTACGTTCAGATTTAGACAAGAGCATTTCGGATATAATGCATATGAATGCGGTCGAAACGGTGTTATCAGAAAAAATTGATGAATCGCAAGTTAGCCCTACTATTGATGTTGAAGTGAATACAGATACTGATGGTCCTGATGTTAAACGACGGAAGATCGAAAAGGATTCCCCTTTGAAAACAGCTAATGAAGATAGTTGCCTTCGTCCAAAAGCAAAATCGTGTTACGTAGGAGGTAAGCGTCAACATAGTATTCTGTATCATTATTAATCCTACACCATTTTACGCTAAATTATTTTATTGTTGTCCCGTAAAACAAAACAAATAGACGATTTCGTTGCATTTTCAAAACAAGAAACCCATTACAAATATAGTTAATGTAGGTAAATCCATTATATTAATTGTTAAAACTAAAGCTACAAGAAATTAGAGATTGTTAGTACATAAAGAGTAGATCATAATTTTTCTTGCCGTCTCCAAAATAAAGAAAACCATGTTTGCGCGAGTTTAACTTATGGAAAAATGTCATGCCGGGCCAGAGACAAGATTTCATAATTATTAAGCGTTCATTTCTCATTAAGTTCAAAGAGAATGCTCGACGAAGCGGTATTACATCGGCTATACAGTCTAAGAAATCAATGGCGTAGTTGTAATCACCGCGCTTCAGCAAATTGTGCTTTAAATCGTTTCGTGGTAATCGAAGTATTTGGTAGTTCGAAATATTTTCAACTTGCAAATCGTTTAGGCCACGAAACATCTGGTTGGGTATAATACGGCCATCCGTAAGCTTATAAAGGGCTCCACGTGGGCAAATTGCACATTCCTCTGTAATAATAAATACTATGGCAGCCAGGCGCTCTTCTTCCTTTAGCTTAACTTTCTCTGGTAAATTCGCAGAGATTATTTGGTTAGCATCGACTTCAAATGTAGGATCCTATAAACAGTATAATGTAGGATCCTGAAAACACTATATTGTTCATTTTTTTTTTATTAAAGACATAAGATTTACCAATTCTACTGTTGTTACAAGAATCGGATCGCCTATGAAAGGTTCGCGACATAAAATAGTAGCTTGAAAAATTTTCGGACTATGCACAAAAGGCAACATCATCCATTGATATCCATCTAGCGTGTAAAAGAATTTTCGGTCTTTTAAGCAATCCTGGGTATAGCCGAAAGATATGTAATAGTCTCTGGTTATTGCATTAATGCGACCCCAAAAGTACATGCCTGTGAATCGATTTTCATTTTGCAGTACTATAAGCGAATTTTCGATTAAAACCTTTTGCTCAGGTGTTATTTTTTGTCCGCAGTACATTAGACATTCCAGGCCTTCCATGAAATATTCAATATTCATTTTTTTCTCTGAAAATAACATTAACATTAAAAAATATTAAGCCTCTCTATATTATACATATTGACTGAAAAAATAATGTTTACTAGATATATTTAGATAAATGTTTGCATAAAGTGATTTTAAAAATAGTGGTACTGGACCGATTTCTTCATCAAAATGCTAAAGATTAACTTAAGCTAGCTGAGGTGTTAGACTAAGCATATTTTCGATTTTTTCACTTAATCGACTCAATCCGTAAGAATCCTTTCAGGTTTTTTTAAATAGTAGAATATTTTTTCTTTGTTTCTTTTGTGGTTTTGGGTGATTACAAACTCATTAGGTATAAAAATTTAATCAACCTTCCGAGAGACAAATTTCGGTTTAAGGCCCTTGGATCCATCCGAATAACCATCTTATCTATCTATCTTAACCAAGAAGTTAGTGTAGAAACGGAACCTTAAATATAGATATTAATTGATGTTATGTTGTTGTAGCGGTTATCCAGCTTGATTAGGTTCAAATTGGTTGTCATTGAATTCAAACAATTATGATTTCTGTTTTTATACACATTTATATCGGATCATAAACTTGCTCACTTCCGGTAATAAAATATTGGACAATTTGCTTGCACTGCTCATTATGTAAAATCGCATATCTCAGGACCGATTTCAACTTCAGTACATGACATTCTACGCTTTTTATCTGACAGTGCGAAAATGGCCAAAACCGGATTACAAACACCTACAACTTTAAATTTTAATTAACGAGATAAAACTTTGCACTAATCATGCCGTTAGATTATGTCACCTTATGACCAGAAATTATCCAAATCGGACCAAAGGTGTTCGAGCCCCTAGGAACCAGTACCTATAGTTGACATTTGACCGAAAATATCGAATCAATGCGTGAGATATGTATATAATTGAAATTCATACAGAATCCGTAGACTGAGTAAACACTATTTCTCTGTGCTTTACAAGAGTTGTTTAATGTAAACGTCAGTGTTGTATATGGGTCAGACCATGTAAATTGGTCCATGAAAATTTCGAAAAATCAACGATTTTGAACATGAGCAGCCTATATCCAATCTTCTAAAAACTTAGTTGAATATTGTACAAATTTGTATAATTATAATGATTTCAGGAGCTACATTTTGGAAATGTGACTGGCGTGAGGCTTTATGTAAATGCGGTCAATGTTTGGAGCTCTATAAAACTGAAAAAGTAGAGTATTTGTTAGATCCAGAAGATTCTGCCACGTCTTATGAAGAGCGAGGTAAAAAACGTGGAGAAATTGAGTCTACATATGAACAAGGTATACGCGCATTAGCTTCCATTGGTCGAGTGCAGCAAATAGACGCTATAACAGAGTATAACCGCATGAAAGATAAACTAAAGGAATATTTGCAAACATTTGCTGCTTCCAAAAAAGTTGTCACCGAAGCGGATATCAATCGTTTTTTCCAAGAAATGCGGAGTGAAAAAAACGCTGATCTGGGTCAACCGTATCTTTGTCGTTAATGGTGAATTAATATATCAAGTTTCAAAGCCTTGCACATACATACTTAAATTTGCACGGTACATATCTAATTTATAATACAAATAACATCAAAAATAATATATTTGAATCAGTATTTTAATTTTTTTAAATCACATTCCGGACTCTACATTATTAGTCAATATGCAAACATTTTACTTCATAGTTGAAAATTATCGTATAATAGTTATATTTAATCAGTAAATTAAAGTGATGAGATTTGTAATAAAATTCTTGTTTAAAAAGGTTCATTAATTCATTATAATTCTGATCATGAAAATGTTGAATTTTTGTACAAACATATATACAAATAAATCATTTTATTCACATTTCTTTTGCTTTATTATTATCTCACGGTATCATCTACATGTTGGAAGCCAAACCCCTAATATTCACATTAATTATAGAGGTGTTGTCTATACTTACGAGTAATAAAATATGTGTCTCAAGTATAATTAAGTGTATTGTTTGAAATATATACATTAATAAAAATATATGAATATACATATACATACATATTCATATATTCATTAAAAAATGCCTAAGTCTAACCGGCCAACTTTTAAATTATATAACAGCAGAGAAAGATTTTCAAACCTTACTCCATGAACAAATATTAATTTCTCATTATATTTGCGGTAATTATTTAAAAAAAATCGATATTTGCGTTATCTTCGCAATTGTTTTGCTTGGGATCAGTTAGTTGAGCAGGGGAATGCGTTATAGGCGTTTGCATGAGATCCAATATAATTCTTTCAATCTCTTCCTTATCTGAAATAGGATTTTGGAGCCGTTGCTCTGTAACCTGAATATTATGTGTCACAGGGGTACATGGTACAGCGGTATTATTAATACGTTCAAAACAACCACCACTGGTAGTGCTACGTACAGTACCAAAATAATGTCCGTTCGTAATTTGGTAATTTGCGTTGTTATTGTCGACGTTAATGTTGTCTTTTGTGGTGTAGTCAAATTCTTGGTTTTCCCGATAATTAAATATGGCATCAAGCGTTTGGCAATTTCCTGCCTGAATTGTGCTATCCTGCATTAGTGTGCATAGTTGGTCTGTATAAGCACCGTTGGTGGAAGGTGAGATAGGCGACGGTGTTGCATTACGATTTTGTGGTGATATTGGCGATAACTGTGACTGTGGCGACATTAGGTAGTTGCTTCTGTATGGATCCAAATGTTGTTCAACTGCTGTAAACTTTATTGGCATTGCAGCGCCTACTGAAAACAGAATAAAAACGGACAATTATGCGTAATTTCAAAAATGTTTTAAACGTTAAAGTGTAACTCACTTGGCTCATATTTGATGTCTAGATGTGGTTGTGTTGTTGAGATTACAGGTAAATTGAAAGTATTATTCATTGCTTAAATAAAGATAAAAAAGAGAAAAATACATTTATTGTGAATAGGTAAATAAGGGATATGTACATGTACATTTGTAAATTAATAATTTTTGATATTAGTAAAATGCAAAATAAAGAGTGATTGATTTACAAATGTGTCAATACAAAGCAATGAGATTACCAGATATATCACTTTTGTTATCCATTTCAACTTTTTCTTTAATACGTTCAAAGTAACCGCCGCTGGTAGTGTTACGTATAGTGCCAAAATAATGTTGGTATTTGGTGTTAATGTTGTCTCTGGTGTTGTAGTCAAGTTCTTGGTTTTTTCGATCATTAAATAGGTCATGAAGCCTTTGACAATTTCCTGCCTGGATTGTGGAATCCTGCATTAATGTGCTTAGTTGATTTGTATAGGTACACTTGGGGGAATGCGACGGTGTTGTTTTACAATTTTGTGATGGTATTGGCGATAACTGTGATCGTGGTGGCATTTGGTAGTTATGTGTGACTGTGGTGACAGGTAAGTTGAAAGTATTATTCATTGCTTGAATAAAGAGTAAAGAAATTATATTAAAGCTTATACAATTTTAATGCTTTTCTCTTTCTTTGCCAAGTTTTACAATATCAAATATTAATAAAATAAAAATAGTAGTGTGGATAGGTAAGTAAGGGCACAATTGTAAATTAATGATCTTGCAAATTAGTAATATGCAAAATAAAGAGTGCTTGATTCATAAATGTGTGAGTACAACAATAAAATTACTATAAAAGTCAGTGTATGCACATGAAAAAATTGCATATTAATAACATACACGCAAGCATACATAGATGGAAACATATACTGACTTACTGCGAAATGTAACGGTAACGTATTTAGTCGTAATCAATTATGTTGCTAATTACCCATCGATTATGTATGACGAAGTGAATATCATTGCAATTACTTTTTAATGATTATATGCTTTATTTTCCCAATATAGTACTATACAATACATTTGTGATATCCGAAGCTGATTTAATAAATATGTATTTAGAAATATACATACATACTTATGTAAACAATATATATTCATTAGATTCAATAGTTTATTCTTTTATTGATAATAAGGTGCATTATTCAGTATTCGAACACGATTGAGTCAATAAAAAATGAATAAGTGCATAAACTTTTGCGAATTGTCTAACAATAATTTGGAACGTACCGAATTCGTTAAATACAGTAAACCTTCGATGATTGTGGCATATTAGTATATAAATACATATGTACACATATCTGTCGCGAATACCGAATCTTTTATTTTAATGGCAATAATTACTTACATTTATTTTATAAATTATAAATGCAGTACATAAAATACTATGTACATTACATATTTACCATATTTAAGTTAGAGTCGAATTTGATATATAAGTATTTGCACCTGTAAGTGTTTAGATGTTTATGCATGTTCGCAATATGTATGCTATGGGAGATGAGAAGATAATGGATGGTCACCGAGTACAAATGTTAAATGTCTATGGATATTTTTAGATGCTTGTTTATTTTAAATACATAGTTTTTGGCGTAGCCGTATGCTTTAAAAAGGGCATTTGAACTTATATTTCAAAATATTTATTGAAATAGTGTGTGAATAAAATGCAACTTACAAATGCTTTGATAATTTAAGTTTAAGCCCATATCTTTGTTCATCTGATTTATGAGACTTTCTCCACTAATCTTCCGACGTTTTCTTTCTCTTTTATAACGATCTATAATGGAAATATATGAGACATCTCGAATATTTATGTGGTTTTAAATATGAATATTTTCAGATCTTGAAAATATATACATACATATGTATAAGCATATACTATTTGCATTGCAATTCCCTAGATTGAAAAATATTGCAGAAATATTAAAAAATTGGCATTCTATTTGCTTCATTCAGTCGTTTGACGATATCGTCAGCTGTTACGGCTTGTACGTCGTCTATAGACGTACAGACCTGCAACTCAGTATCAGAATTTTTTGCAGTGATTTGACGCTCCGGTGGTATACTCGTATATAGTGCAAAGTGTTCGGCCTCTTGCAAATCTACCTCCGGATCGAGCATGACACCGAATTCACCTTCGCATAGATTTTTTATACTTTGTCTATCAGCAATAGCTACTAGTTCCATCTTCCCATCACAAATGGGTATTTCAGCTAATTGAAGAGCACTAAGAGTTCTGCGGTCCAAATACTGACCAAAAGTGAAAGCCTTACCTTCGTGAGAGGGTAAACTCTTAGCGTTCTCACCTTTTAGAGGGATGTGAACTACGTCTGTATTTAAATATGCCGGTCTCTTGCCAGAAATACTACTTACACTTCGACCAATCGGTTTACCATTTCTATTGTTCTCATTTCGTTCAGCAACGCTGTTGTGGGAATCTAAATACTTGGAATTCACTTGCTGCGTCGCAGACTTAATCGAGCGTAGGGAGCACCGATTCGGTTCACCGATAGAAAAGTTTCCAATACTAGGTTCCCTACTATTAGAAAGTGTTTTCACTTTGGTTGATTGATTTTTTATTGATTTATCGTTACTCATTATATCAGTTTTACTTTTGCGTCGTGAAAAAAGTCGAGAGAAAAAACCTTCACGTTTCTTTGGTGATGAAGTGGGTGTAGTTTGTCGTTTAGTTGGACTTTGATCAGGAGTTCGCTTAATGATTATTTGTGACGGTTGTCGTGAGGAAACACTACTTGTGCGAGAAAGTTCCAAGGAACTGTGTGTGACCGATGAGCTTGTACCGAGTTCTTGTGAAGTTTTTCGTTTTGGTGGAATTGGAGGAAGGCTTTGTTCAGGACCGGGAGAGGGTGTACGGGGTGGTAAAGGTAGTGGAGGAGAAGATGGTGATGGAGGCGTTTGGGCAACATTTACCCGTATTTTTGGTGCAAGGGGATTTTTCAATACCACCAAGTCAAGTTCGTCATTAATAGCTCCTCCAATCGCTTTTGTGTCTAAATAATCAATAGAAAATGGATTTTTTAGAGTATTTTGTAAATTTTTATATGTTGGGACCTCATCAAAATTCTCTTCCCCTCTTGTGTTGACTACCTCTACCATTGTTTCAATGGATTTATTGTCGAATATCGGTGACCCACCTAACGACAAGTTCTGTATCATAGGGCTGTCAAATGTGCCCCGTCGAGATTTTGTTTCTGTAACCATATCATCGAGTTCGGGCACTTGATCCATTTGATCAGTAATGGTTTTGTCGTCGTCAGTAGCAGTTGATATGGTCGTGTGGTTAGTTGATAAACTTGCCATGTTGGTATATACTGTTATTGGACTGATTGAAGTTGTATCACCGTTCTCAACTGTCAAGCTGTCGGTTCGTTCGAACTCATTAGAGTGCATCCATTCAGTGATTTTATCGACTGCGGATAGTGAATGCGAATCAATTAGTGGTGGATGTTTAAGTATCTCATCCATTGGTGTCGATGTTTGAGTGTCTGCATCCACAGCCTGACACTTCAAAGTTGGTGCTTCGAAGTCGTATTCGATACCGTTGGGTCTATCAAATTCAATATCTCCGTCACCGTCGGTAATACTTTCTCTTTTGCGCCGAGCTAAAGCTATACTTTCAGTTTCATTAAGTGTATCTAAACTATGCTGCTTGCTAACGGTACTCTCGGTGCGTTCTGTTGATAATGTAGCATTATCATCCAAATCGAAATCAATATCAGAAGGGGAGCAAGAGTATTTTGTTGCAGTCGTTTCACTATCCATGGACAATATATGTTGAAATATATCCACTTCTTGCTTTCGCTTAAGTTTACGACGCATGCTGGCAAAGGATAGCGTACCTGGATCATGAAACACGAACTCCAAAGCGTCACTCCGTTTATCCAAACTGGGTCTTTCCAACTCAATGTATGTCTGTAAGGTAGGAAAAAAAATTATTGTTTAAACATATATGAAGACACCATATACATATATGCATATACATATGTGTATGATCGTTTACTTTTACCTTGGCAGTTTTTGGCAAATCCGCCTGAGGATAACGTGGTGTACGAAACGCAATTGCTGTCTGTTTATGTACATTGGACGGTTCAAAATCGGCGTATGCATGCCAAACTTCGCGATTATTATCGATCGCTTTGAAGCGAATCTTCACATCATCTTTATTAACTTGTGAACAGAGCAAAATTATTTCATCTCCTCCATCAATGGTGGCTGCGCAGCTACAAAGTCGACTAATGAGTAATTCACTTTTCGCTTTTCGGTCATAGAGAGGTTCCGACACCACTGGGTTCAGCGCTTTCCAACCGTTCCCAACCTTTATGAAGCCTTGAAAGCACAAACGTAATGAATTCAATTCAATTGAATTCGGATCAGTTACATGATCAAACCCAGCTAAAAATTAGGAATTTGTTATATTCCAGTTAGTCTCATATTTGTATAAATTTATCACTTACTCTTGAAAGGGTCAATTTTCCTACTTTTTCGCATCTCTAAAGACTCCGTAATTTCTTTTTTCTTTACACATCGTATTCCAATATTACTGAGTTCGACACGTAGTGGGGTATCGGGTCCAACATATCTTATACAATAACCATGTTTACAATCCTGACCTACCAACTGATGTGGATGTTGTCGAAAAGGTTTATCCTTTGTAACACAAGATACCAGAATCCGCGCTTTTCCTTCGTAGCCTACAACTTCGACAGTAGGAAATGTTTTGGTTTCCTGAAATGAATTCTCACCAGGTATATTTCCGGCTGTACGACCTTCACTGTTGTACCGAAATCTCATCGGTTTTCTCGAAGGCTGTTCTACAACACGAAGGTAAGGTTTCGAAGATGTTGAAATATCATCCAATTCGGGCGATATAATCTCAACTGAAAGCAAACAATGGAGTTTTTATATTTATAATAATTCCTATCCTCCTATCTGTTTTTATTAGATGAGTATAACAATTAAATTGCGTGTATCTATCGAAACACGTACATAAAGTAATTTATTTTGAAAACTTACTAATATCACTCAATTCGTGCTCACTCGTATCCATAATTCGGCTGTTATCTGCAATTTGATCAATGGAAATTTTAAGTATTTTATTAATTAATAGAATTTTATTAATAATTAGATTGAAATAAATTTTAATTGCTTTACAATGACTTATTATTTGTTGCGTTAAAATATAAGTCTTGAAGATTTGCTCTAAGGAAGGCTAGTTGTATTGTTAACGCCAATTTTTCAAATAATTTCATTTACATCAGTACATGTTGCACCTACGTGTTAGCCCAGTTCTATAAATATAACACATTTTCCCCACTTCTGTTTTACCTTATTGTGGATATATTCAGGACACATTAAATTGGGTTAACACGCACACACTATATTATTCATATATATATATCATAACTTGGTGAGTTAAAGTAATTTTCTAAGAAGGTTTGTTATTTAGTTAAACTTACTGAAATAGACATTTAACGAATTACCTTCCTCTAAGGCAAAAATATGGATAGTTTCTAATATGATATCATACAGGATCGATTTTTTTGATTTTTGATGCTAGACTGGACCTTACTTAGTGCTTAGCTGCAGCTTAGAGTAATTTGGGTAGATGTTAACTTTTTTATTATATTCTAAAATCTTTCAGACACGTGGAATATGCGACCATTAGAAATGCATATGTTCACATAACAACATTGAAATTTAATAGTTCGTGTTTCCCTGCAAGGAACATTATATAATATGGACATTTGGAAACGCTCTAAAATTTGTAAAAGCGTAGCGATGTGAATCACTGTCCTTTCATAGAATGCTTAATTTAGCATTGTTTATATCATTAGGGCAAAAACAAAAGCTTCCACCTTATTACTTTGATGATTTTTGCCCACCATATCATACCACTTGAATTTGTAAATATGTATATTGCAAACATACTATAAGTATGTTTATAGATTCGACTATATCTGCTTTGTTTCTATGGTATTTTCTATTTCGAAAGCATGTGGTGGATCAGAAAATAAACGACTATTACCTGCTGGAGCAATGCCACGGCAAATTGAACGAATCGTTTCAGGTCAACCGAACGTCGGAATACATACATAGTTATTCTGGTTGAAACCGATTTATGGCGTTTTCGGACACATACGAATTCTCCAATCACACAATCCGCATATGTATATAAACCAAAATGCTGTCAAAACATTGTTGAACTTATAGATATTGATTGAATTTGTATAGATGATAGTCATGGAAAAATTAAAACAAAAACTCACGCAATGGAGAGGAATTTTCGGTTGAAAATGATTTTTTGGTTCGAAATTGCAAGACATAAATTTGCTAACGAAATACTTACGTAAGTGTTTACATACGTATTTTGTGCATACATACATATGTGCATCTATGTTCGTAAGGAAAATAATAAATAAATAATCGAATCTTATATACCTACAATCGCACGCACACATGTACTCATTCGCCAAGTTGCTAATAATAATAATAATTTAATTGTTTCGATACCGTGATTTTGCAGCACAAATTCTGAAATGTTTTTGTAAATTAAATTCTTCGTATGTTAATTATTATGAACCAGAACAAATTTTAACAAAAACAGCATGTAGGCTTTCTTAAATCGTCAAAAATAGAGAAAAATTAA